GCTAAATCATCATTGAAAGCTAAAAAAAAACCTAAATCTAAAGCGGAATTACTGAAAGTTAAAGCTTAGAGCTTCTAATTCTTAAATAATTACAAATACAAATGGCAGCAAAAGAGAAAAATATAAAAAATTTTAGCTCAGGCCACTACCTGTTCAGTGGCAGTACCACTGGTGATCTGTACATTTTCGACCTGAAATCAACGAATGGCCCAGAGCAACCAACGCCAGCAGTTGTCAAAGTGTCACAGGCTCATCGTGCTGCTCTTTGCGGTGTGAGGTAAAATACTTTAAGAATGGCGTTAAAACCTATGTTATTCGCGACATATAAGAAACAGGCAAAAGTTCTACTGCGCAATCCGAGAAGAGCTTTGTTTTTGTTTAATCAAAAATCTTCAGTTCTTTGAGGCCTCCCAGTGTTGGGCAAAGACATAGTTTGGCGTATAAAAATTTCAAAAAAATTTTTTTAGTGTCAATAAAGAACGAGCAGTTGTTGCAACATGCAGTGGACAGAGGGTATTCCCGTTCCCAGAACTGGATGATGTGGAAGTGGTGGATGAAAATGGCACATACGAAGACACAAATTCGCCCGAATTTTACGATAATTCTCTGGCACTCTGGGATCTTCAAGTCTGATGATATCAGGTTTAATAGAAAGCATTATTTTGAGTCTGTTCATCAATCACTGTTATTTTTCCCAAAAAAGTATGCAGCAAAACGCGTTATGAGGAAAGCTTAAATGAACTGATTCGAACTTGCCCCGTTACGCTGCACGCCTTCCAACACAATCTACACCGGCAATCGGAGGCCAAAAAATTAATACAGTAACACAAGTCTTCTTGCACATGATACTTAAACTGATCCCTCATTATTCCTAAAAATGTTGAATTTCGAACGTGAAAACTGCTCAGCACTTTTTATGGGATAATTCAGAAATGTGTTTTTTATAGCAAATGTGCAGTAGTATTTACTAATCATCAGGAAATAGAGCCATAAGACCTGCAATGAGCGAGAAACCGGCAAACAGAGCGAAAAGTTTGACGATACGATATTGACGTTGCTCGAATTCGTGAGGAAGTATCTCGAAACAGGTTATGTACAGAAATGTTCCGCATGCCACTGCCTGCAATTCTCTTGTTATGCAAAGTTGTTTTTCGCAATTTATAGATTCTGTTCAGTGGTTGTTTTTGAAATGCGACTTATGTTTGAATATTCTTTTAATTGGTAAAAAAGAAATGAATTTACTTCGATGAGGGCAGTGATGTTAACAAGGATGCATGGTGTATCTCTCCGTCGGCTTTCGATAATGAAACGCTCCGTTAAATAAGAAAAGACACTGTTACATACATGAGTTCGAGTAAAATCACTGGCCACGCGCACCAGGCGGGCCAGTGCGATCACGTTTGCAATATTTCGTACTGTTATAAGATCGCTTGAGATTTTTCACAATAGCTAGAATTTATGGCATACTGGTCCTCGAACTTCAGAAAGTTAATCGTACAATTAACACATGCACTTGGGAAGAGAACATTCTGCCAAAATTTCAGCTTTCTAGCTTTTCTGGTCCCCGAGTTGGTGAATTTTCCTGCCAGAAAATTTCACTGGGTTGTAATTGGGGAACACACATGCCTGGGGGCTGAAATTGAAGTCTTTAAGTTGTACATGGGCTGAGAATATCCCCTCGACATTTCAGCCTAACAGCTTTTCTAGTCCTCGAGCTATTGATTTTCCCCCAAAAAATTTTCACGGGTCCATACGTGAGAACAAGGCGCAGTCGAGGGCTGAATTTGAAATCTTTGAGCTGTACGTGGACGGGGAACATCCCTTCAAAATTTCAGCCCCCTAGCTTTTCTTGTTTCCGAGTTAGTCACTTTCCCGCCAAAACTTTCACATAGTCGTCCGCGAGACTCGGACGTACGTGAGGGTCGGTATCGCGGTCTTGGGGTGACATTTGGCCCGGGAATCCGCTGGCAAAAGTTTGGCTCCGGAGTCTGCATGGCCGCCTTGTTTAAATACACACACACACACACCAGAGGTCTTCGCAATATGCGCCCTTGCTCGCTGTAGCAGTGCTATAGCGCTGCACAGCAAAAACGCATAATTAAACCTGTTGTTTATTTTGCTCTGCGATGGACATAATGTGTCAGTGATTGGTGGTAGAAAATGACTGCTAGGGAAAATCTCATGCAAAAGCAACTCACAAACTTAGTTTCGCTCAATGTATAACTTATCTGTAGGTTTGCAGTCCGAGCGGTATCGTAAAAACCTGAGCTCACACTGGAATGCACCAGGCTTGCTGTTGCGATTATGCGTTCTTGCACCAGACTTGAAGTACTTAGGTCGTTAACTGCATGAATGATTGTTGCTTTACACCAATCTTTTGCGCTCAGTAGCGTAAATCATCGTAAATTTTGCATAACGGAAATGAACAATTTCTGTTTACTGGTTGCCCTTTGAAAATGACCCAGCTGTTCAATAAGCAACTTTCCCGCTAAAACTTTTAAGTGCGCGTACGTAAGAACCACCTACTTGGACAGCGAACATCTCCCTAAGATTTCAGCTTTCTGGCTTTTCTATTCCTCGAGTTAGTAATTGCCAAAAATTTCACATGGCGCTACGTGAGTACCACTCCTACCGGAGAGCTGAATTTGAAAACTTTAAATTGCAAATGGGTGGAGAAATACCATTAAAATTTCAACCTTCTAGCTGTTCTGGTTGCCAAGTTAGCAAATTTTCCGATAAAAATTTCAAGTGCTCGTACATGAGAATCACACACACCTAGGGGCTGAATCTGAAATCCTTAACTCACAAATGCACACGAAATGTTCATTCAGTGTTCCAGCTTTCTATCTTTTTTAGTTCCCGAGATCGTTTCCTTGCCAAAAAATTGCATGTTTTTTTTAAGGCATCCATACACGGCACCCAGGCGTATGCGGGTGATGATATTAAAACGGGAGGGTCGCACATGGTATAGGCACATATTCCTCCTAGCTTTTCTAGTCTCTAGTTGAAAGTGAGTGACAAAAAGTGCGAACATATAGACACATATACACAGGAGCCTCTTGGCAGTATGCGTTTTTGCATTTGCCTGTATGAAAAAAAGCATAAAAATGATAGTTGCAGTTTGGAAAACAGTTCACCTGTGCAATAGCAGAGACCATTCCTGCAACGAATGCTGAGCCATGACTTATGAAATCGAGGATTGCCAGGCCGCCAAAACCACCCAGAAGCACTTGGGCAGCAAAAACAAAGCAACAGAGCAGGATTGTGACTGTACGTAGCTGACTCTGCACAAGACGCACTCCCAGCGAGAAGCCAATTATCGTTTTGTGTACAAGCAGTGCAAAAAATATCTTAAGTTACATCACCGGTTAGTTAATAACTTGAAAATGCGCAAAAATTCAGCAAAATTTCGTGCACTATAGTCTACATATGTTCTGAAATACTACAAACAAACTTGTCGTAGCGCAGTCCTTCTCGTATGGGAGAACACAGAAGGGAAGCCATTAGCGGATGCAAGAGGAGGGGGAATAGTGGAGTTTGCGATGTACCGACGCCAGGTGGGGAGGGGAGGAGGGTGGGGGAAGGGGAAAATTGGCAAAATCGCACCTCCCCCCAGGAAGCCGCCCTGGATCCACCTATGAGGGAAGTAAAGAAACATACATGTCAGTCGACAAAGAGGTGCAGTTACAGATAAAACAATTGGCCAACGCACGGGCTGCCCGTGTGAAGATGCGTTTTTTGCATAGTTCCCCGCAGTTTTTGT